GCTTGTGTCAAGTTAACATAAAGCTAGCCAGGACACCATTCTTTAGCAATTAATGCCCTTACTCTAACCGCTCACACCTTCCTGAGGCTGGGGCTTGAATTTTCGCTGTAATTCAGACAACCTTATACTGAGGGCTTCAGTTTGATTTTCTGCAACTTGAGTTCTTTCTAGCTGCTGGAGAGAAGATTCTCTTCCAGGGCACACTTAGAAACCTTTAGACTGTTTATGTGCATCTGGAACCAGTTAATTTTATCACGGAATTCATTGTTGTCCTTCCGTATTCTGAGATGCTAGAAGTTGGTTAATTTATCAGGAGCTCATTCTTTTTTTTTTTTTTTTTTTTTTAATTTTCCGGAGCTGAGGACCGAACCCAGGGCCTTGTGCTTGCTAGGCAAGCGCTCTACCACTGAGCTAAATCCCCAACCCCTGGAGCTCATTCTTTTCCTTTGTCAATTTGTCCAGGGATGCTAAGAGCAACTGACCAGCATCATCGTTTTCCTTATTTTTCTGAAAATTGTCAAAAGTTATATAGAGTCACCAAATCCATTGCCTCTCACAATTGGTGAGTCATATAATCAAATGCATTTGTCTCCATAAGTTTGTAAAAGAGTTCACACCATAGGCTTTCAGCACTCTCCGAGCTCCCAGGAGAGGTTTCAGTAACTGGAGAGGATTCTATAACTGTAGGGTTTGGCAAATTGGAAAGCCTATTCCAGATACTTGAAATATTCATCTTTATAGTTCTTTTGCTCTAGAATCTTCAGTATATGCCAGAATCCCAAAGTGGACTCTAACACCAGTGAAGGAATGGACTTGCTAGCAAGAGGGAGGGCAGGCAGGCAGAGAGAGCCAGCCTCCTCCTTCCATGTCCCTATATAGGCTGCCAGGAGAAGGTGTGGCCCAGATTAAAGGTGAACTGTCCCACCTAAAAGGATCTGAATTAAAGGTTTATCCTCTGGCCTTAAAGAGCTGAGTTAGAAGTGAGTCAAATACAACTATTATAAAATGTATGATAAACCTCACTAAAGGCAGAGAGTGAAGAGGAAGGATGTGCTGATTCAAGTCATTTAGAAACTGACATGCTTGCTGGGCCGTGGTGGCGCACACCTTTAATCCCAGCACTCGGGAGGCAGAGGCGGGTGGATCTCTGAGTTTGAGTCCATCCTGATCTACAGACTGAGTTCCAGAACAACCAGAGCTGCTCTGTGAGACACTGTCTTGGAAACAAACAAACCAACCGATGTGGAAAATTCAAGGCCAAAGCCAAAAGTAACTGTACAAAAGCATTTAGCTGTCAAGTGCCACGATTTCCCAAAGGCATATAGGTGCTTCAACAGTCTGTTTTTAATTCTATGTATAGGAGGAATGTATGTGCAGATGTCCAGAGAGGTCAGAAGATGGCACTGGATCCCCTGGAGCTGGATTTATAGGCAGCTATGAGCATTCATGTAGGAGCTGGGAAATGAGCCCAGGTCCTCTGGAAGAGCAGTCAGTGCTCTTGCCCACTGCACCATCTCTCAGCCCTAATAGTTTTAACATTGCTATGTATGTAAACTAGGAGTGAACAATTAAATAAATGGATGTTGGAAGTTGGAAGTAGGTTCTCACTGTTGGAGTAAGAAGCCCCAGATAAGCAGGAAGGGAAGTCTATAATAAATCATGTATGTGGTACTGGAATATCAATATTTTTTAAATTTATTTATTTATTATGTATACATGTTTTGTGTGCATGTATGTATGCACACCAGAAGAGGGCACCAGATCTCATTACGGATGGTTGTGAGCCGCCATGTGGTTGCTGGGAATTGAACTCAGGACCTCTGGAAGGACAGTCAGTGCTCTTAACCTCTGAGCCATCTCTCCAGCCCTGGAATATCAGTATTAATTCATGTTTGTTTTGAAGTACATATGGACACATATGGTAATAATTATAGATATGTATATACATGTGTTGATATATATGATGTGTCCTATGTACATATATATGATATTAGATGTGTGTAACTAACTACTATGATAAATGTGGATGAAAGATAAATGACCAGCTGTGATGGCTATTCTTGGTTATCACCTTGACTACTGGAATTAACTAAAACCCAAATGAATGGGCATACCCGTGGGGGATGGTTTTTTAATTAAATCATTTACAGTGGGAAGACTCACTTTTCATCCAGATTTTTGAGGTGGGATGATCTGGGCCATGCCTTCTGCTGGCAGCCTATATAAAAGACATGGAAGAAGGAAGCTTTTCCTGTTTGCCTGCTTGTTCTCACCTCCCTGGCAAGTCCATTCCTTCACTGGCGTTAGAGCCTACTTCTTCAGGAGTCCAGCATACACTGAAGACTGGCTGAGACATCCAGCCTGGTGGACTGAACAACTATGGATTCTTGGACCTTCTGTTCATAAACAGCCATTGTTAGATTTGCTGGAAAACAGCCTGTAAGACATTCTAATAAATCATATATATATGAATGAACATATATATATTCATTCTATGTGTTTTGTTACTCTGGAGAACTCTAATACACAAGCTGAGAGAAATATAAACTATATTACAGTAAAGCTTCAATACCTTTAATGTACAAGGAACTCTTGAAACTTGAAGTGGGAGGACCAAAAGCCAATACAGAGAATGGACAGACAATGTGAGGAAAGCCACACATTATTTATTTCTGTTTGTTTGTTTTGAAACATGGTCACACACTATAGCATGGGATGGTGTGTGTGTGTGTGTGTGTGTGTGTGTGTGTGTGTGTGTGTGTGTGTGTGTGGTGCAGTTGGCAGAGTGGCTATTTAGCATGCACACATCCAAGGGTTTGATTTTCAGCACTGTCCAAAACCAAGCAAACACTGACGACACCACAAAAACCTCCATTAATTTTTCTTGAGAAGTCCATACTCTTGGATGTGTACTGTCCCTTTTCTAGCCGTCTTCTCTCTCTCTCTCTCTCTCTCTCTCTCTCTCTGAGCGCGCGCTGCGCGCGATTAAATCTATGTTAAATCTGTTTCTTTTCTTTTCTTTTTCTTTTTTGGTTTTTCGAGACAGGGTTTCTCTGTGTAGCTTTGCGCCTTTCCTGGAACTCACTCTGTAGCCCAGGCTGGCCTCGAACTCACAGAGATCCGCCTGGCTCTGCCTCCAAAGTGCTGGGATTAAAGGCGTGCGCCACCACCACCCGGTTTAAATCTGTTTCTTAATAAACTCCAACTTTGCTTCAAAATAGGACATTAATGTCTGGAGATACAGCTCAACAGACCACTTGCCTAGTATGCAAGAGTCCTTGGGTTGTCCCCAGCAACACACACACACACACACACACACACACACACACACACTAGTAAAATGGCCCTTAGATATAAGAAAAAGATAATCACTCTCATAACAAAACCACGAAGTAAGCCACACTAAAAGAATGGATAAGCAAGTTGTGGCATATATATGTATACTAGGAAATTCTACCCACTAACAAAAGAAACCAACCTGATACCACAACTTGGATGAATCACAAAAGCTAAATGAGTGAAAAACACAAGGAGGCTGGCGTGGTGGCGCACGCCTTTAATCCCCGCACTTGGGAGGCAGAGCCAGGTGGATCTCTGTGAGTTCGAGGCCAGCCTGGTCTACAGAGTGAGTTCCAGGACAGCAAGGACTAGACAGAGAAACCTGTCTTGAAAAACCAAAACCAAAACCAAAACAAAACACAACAGGAGATACAAAAGGACTGCATAGTATCTCATTCTATTTGTATGAAATTCTACAACAGACAAACATACTCTATAAGACAGAAAGCTAAACAATGTTCCTCTGGCTGCTGGTGGGGGGTGGGGGATGGAGATGGGGAGATGGGGGTGGGGAGATGGGGGGATGGGGGGTGGAACTTAACACAAAAGAACCTTTAAGGTGTGATGGAAGTGTTTGTTCTCAGTGCTGTGATGACATAGGTGTCTCAAAAGTCATAGGATGATACCCTTTAAACGGCTGCATTTATATAGAGAGTCAGCATATATCAATAAAATCCTTCCAATTACATGAGTCCTGCTTGAATGTATTTCCCGCAGCAAGAAAATAATTTCATTTCTATGAGAAAACAATGCAACTAAACCGAGCGACCTTTTCTTTCAGATCCGAGAGGGTTAGGGTGCATTTAAACACTTGTTTCTGTTTTGGTTTCGGTGTTGGGGATCAAAACCAGAACCTTGTGCATGCTACCAAGCTCTCGTCCATGGAGCTAGTTTTTGTTTTTATTTTTAATGGAGTTTTCTGGGTGCTTTTCATTAACTGCTGTTCTCTCTTCTCGAAAACGTTTAGCTTATCAATGACTAGATCTTTTCCCTAATACGCTATACAGCACTGTGTTAATAAAATCATTATCAGATCTTTTTTAAAAAAAATGAGAGGTAGATGGTCAAGGACTTTACGTGAGACGGGATTCCCCTTTGGGGTCACCCGGAGAAGGGCCGAAACAGGACCGGAGGAAGCTTCCGCTTTCATTTCCACGGTTATTAAGTCACTTTCTCCTTAAAGGAGCATCGCGGAAGGGTGTTTTTTTTTTCTTTTTTTTTTTTTTTTTCTGTCGGAGGACTACTTCCCTACGGACGAGTCCACCCATGATACAGGGATACCATAACGCCGCATAACAATGAGTAGTCTGTAAATGCTCAAAGGCCATAAAAGACGATTTACAATTTGCTGAAACATCAAAGCAAAATTCTCCTGATCTTCAAGCATCATTCTCTTCTCTCCGTCTCTAAAACGCTGAACATTTGATTGCGTTTCTCTCCCTTCATTCCCAGTCAGTGGTTCGCTCCGACCTTAGCACTGACAGGCCGCACGAGCTGCGCCTGCGCACAAAGCTTGCGGGGGGGTGGGGGGGGGCAAAGGAACATGGCGCAAGCTCTGTCTGAAGAGGAGTTTCAACGAATGCAGGTGCCGCTCGACGTGGGCAAGACCACCCGGCTAGGAGAATGGGGGCGGGGTAGAGAGAGGTCATGCTATAGGCGCTGAGGATTGGATTGCAATGGACCTTGAGTATAAGGGGGTGGTATGGAGAAGGGAAACTGAGGCTCTTAGCGGCGACCCTATTGACTTCGAAGCTTCTATGTGGGTTCTGAAGGTTGGATTCTGTTATTCTTGTAGGGAACACAGAACGTCTTTAAGTAGGCGATACCTTTCTCAGTCCGGGGTGGGGGCGAAACCTTTGGGTCCATGATTAACTGGTGATGATGTTAGAATTTGAAGGATGGAGATCCTGAGAAGGAGAAATTATTTTGTCTGGAGAGAAAGGAAGCGGGCATCTGGCCTTTTGCGTCATGTGTGTATGTGTGGGGAGGGGGGGGGGTGATTTGACAGGGCAAGACCATGAACTGGTGGGAGGTGGAAAGTTTATGGGAGATACCACTAGGCCAGGGGAGTAGGGAAAGTCCATGGATCTATTCCCTAAAGTTGCTGTGCCATTGGTGGTAGTGGATCCTAAGAGGGAGGGGTGTAGTTGCATGGACTGGGGTGATTCCTTTAGATCTGGGGTGAAGAACATTCTGAGTGAGTAATACAGTTAACCCATGTTAGGGGAACAACCAGAGGATATAAAAGAATAATACTTTGGGATTTCAGGAGGGGAACATCACTGGGTTTGGGGGAGTAGTCTGACCTGGTCCTCAGACCTGTTGATTCTTTTCAGGGGCACTCTGAGAGGGAATGATAGCATTGCACAATGAAGGGACACTTCATGGGAGAGCCTTAGTGGGAAAGACTGAAATGGGGAAACCTTAGAGTCCTGTTGGTTGGAGGCAGAACTCTTGAGAGAGTAGAAGTAATTCTAGTTGCTCAGGAGCTAGATGGCTTGCTGAGGGACACTGAAGATGTAAAAGTGAGATCAATGGACCATAAACAGGGAGGACCACTGTAAATTGCAGAACATTCTGAATAAGATTAATTCAACTGGCCCACCGAAGGGTATTTGAGAGAGATTCTGGAAGGACATAGTGTCACCCCTATTGGATCATGACTGAAGGCATCTTATGAAGAGTGGGTAGATACTTGAGCAAGAAAGATTTATTCCATTGGGCCATGTGTGAGGAAAAAACATTGGGCTCTTTTGGAGAGGGACTTCAAGGTGGGTGGAAAGGTATTCCAGTTGGCCTAGGATTCAGAGAGATGATATCTGAGTCCTGGGGAGAACAGGGCAAGAAAAATCCCCTAATAGCCAAGCCAGCCTTCTGATCTGGACCAAACCACTGTGGTGAGAGGGGTGGAGGCTGGTGCTTTGAGAGGGACATAAAAGTAGGCATAGGGCACAGTGCATGGTTCTGAGAAGAATCAGCTTCAGGGCTCTACAAGGCTGGTAGATAAACATATACTGTTTGAAGTGGCCCATGCTGCATTTTCCCTTACTTCTTGACTTAAGGGGACTCTAACATGTTTTGAAAAGCTTAGGAGTTCTGCAGGACCTTGGGGGAACATCCCCTGACTCACGAAAGTTGGGAAGGAGAAAGACCAAATTCTCTTTCCGTGAGAAAAAATGTGCAAGGCCTTCTGCCAAAGGGGCTTCCCAGTGTTCAGGGTGTTAAAAAGGTCATCCAAGATTATTTTATCCTGCATGTATTGAGTCACAGGAACACATATGAACAGGAGCCCGACTATTCCAATACCCTTCAGTATGCTAATACCCTTTAGAGGCCCAGGTGTGGGATGGATTAGTGGAGCAATGGAGTGGGGAGACTGGCTGCGGTTGGAATGGAGCTGGACAAGGTGGAGCAACTAAGGAAACACCTAGGGGGTACCAGTCCAGTCTTTAGAGCTTGGGGGCTTGGCTACCTCAAGTGGGGGGAGGAATGCCTTTCTGATAAGTCTTTTTGTTTCTTGGCTTCTCCCAAAGACTCAGCTCCTGGAACTCCGGACAAATAACTACCAGCTCTCAGATGAACTTCGAAAGAATGGTGTTGGTGAGCCAAGAGAGTCTCATTAGATGGGGTGGTTTGGGGGTATTAGAGGCAAAGGTTTTCCTTTAGAGGCCTGATAAGATGACCCTTCAGTTCCTTGTTACCACCTGAGGCTGAGCTTCCCTGCTTTCCCTGCACCAGAACTTGCCAGTCTTCGGCAGAAGGTCGCCTACCTGGATAAGGAGTTCAGCAAAGCTCAGAAGGTACCGCCCTCCTCCTCCTCCTCCTCCTCCCCATCCACCCACCTCTTGCTTCCCTCTATCCATCTGACTCATTTCTCTCCCAGTGAACACCTACACTGAACCAGACCTAATGTTACATGCTGCTTTCTTACAGTCATTTGAAATTTTTTTCACAGAAGTCTCTTCAGTTTGCTAATTTTAACCTAATCTTGCTTCTTTAATTTGTGTGTGTGTGTGTGTGTGTGTGTGTGTGTGTGTGTGTGTGTGTGTTTCTTTTGAGACAGGATCTTGCTGTGTAGCCCAGACTGGCCTTGAACTCTTGGTCATCCTGCCTCAGCCTCCTGAGTGCTGGGATTATAGGTGTGTGCTGACATGCCTGGCTTTGCTTAATCTATTGATTTGTTTTAATTTATTCTTAATTCATTCTGAGATCAATTGCTTATTCATTTTTATTCACTAAATTTTTTGGGGTGGTGCTACAGATCAAACCTAGGATCTCATGCATGCTAGGCAAGCTCTCCATGTTTGATCTTAGCTAAAAGGCTGAACAGTAACCTTTTTGTTGTTTATGAGATACGGTCTCTTGAAGCCTAGGCTGCCCTTGTGTTTGCTGTGTAGCCGTAGACGGCCTTGAGTTCCTGATCCTCCATTCCTCATTCTCCTGTCTCCAACTCCCAAGTTCTGGGATCCCAGGGCTAGGCCACCACACCTGGCTCTAAGCTGTCTCTACTCCTGTGCTACATCTCCAGCCGTCATTCACTAACTTTGGCTTGAAAGGGGAATCTAGCTGTTTCCCAGGCTGGTCCCAAATTCTTGGCCTCACACTGGCCTCCTTCCTCAACCTCTTAAGTGGCTGGATCTGTAGGCATGTACACCACATGTGGCTTCATTCATTAACCTTTAATTAGTCTATTAGTAAATCTGCCTTGAGGCTGCCTCCTGTCTTCCACTCATATTGCTTCCTTATGCTCCTACCTGTCCTGGTCCTTTTGGTGACATGAGACCAAACCCACCTTTCAGATCCTTTCAAGATAAGGTAGAATAGAGCCTATCATGGCCCCCTAAGATATTCTAGGTCCTTATTTTTATTCTTCTTCATTGCTCTGTCCTCATGTATAATACAATGTTGCACATAGTACATGCTGAATAAATACTTGTTGGATGAGGGGCTGGAGCTTAGCAGGTTAAGAGCACTGGCTACTGTTGCAGAGAACCTGAGTTCCATCCTCAGCACTCAGATGGCATCTCCCAAACAGGCTCAAACTCCAGTTCCAGGAGATGTGTTGCCCCCTTCTGGTTTTTATGAGCACTGCATGCACCCATACACACAAATTAATAATTTAAAAAAAAATGTGGAAGGGGAACTGATTCCATGAAGTTATGCTCTGACCTCCATGTTTAAGCTGTGCCACTCAAGTGTGTGTGTGTGTGTGTGTGTGTGTGTGTGTGTGTGTGTGTGTACACCCACACCCACAGTAATAATAAATAAATAAATAAATAAATAAATAAATAAATAAATAAATAAATAAATAAATTTTAGTAAATTTAAAAATTCCCATTGGGTGAATGATACAGAATTCAGATAATCCAGCAGGAAACTGGAGTTCTCGGTAGGCTGGTGATTTCCAAAGCCTGACAATCTCCTTGGCTGCCGAGCAGAGGGACAGACGTTCCCAATGAGAGGGAAGCACGTTGACGTGTTTGAGCAGATGTAGTGATGAAGCCACAATTTACTAGCTTGGAGATCCGGTGTATAAAGGATTAAATTCTAAGACACTGTTTCCCCCTCTCCCTCAAGTCCTCAAGAGCATAGAAGAAAGGAAGGGGTTTTTTTTTTTTGTTTTTTTTTTTTTGAGTGCTGTGGCACCAAGGCACCAGAATTCCCAGGCATTCTTCATTTCTTCTGCTGTGTCTGTGGGCTTCCAGCTGTTATGAAAGTTCTGTGTTTAAACATGTTTCCATCCCCCAGCACATCACTGCCCTCACTTAACAGCTGCCACATGAGTCTCCATAGCCCACAGAGGGGTCCATTGCTGTTTACTTCAGCTCTCTTCCACCCTTCCTTTTAGGCACTAAGCAAGAGCAAGAAAGCTCAGGTAAGGGGGCCTTTGGTGGGTGACTATGTGTGCAAGACTGTCTTAGTGGGGATATCTCTGTTTGGTGGCATTGTACTGGCCTTTATCTGTGTACACCCGTGTATCTGCAACTTCCTCACCGCTGTTCATCTCTGTCTTTGTTTTCCTGTGTTTGTTTCGCACTCTTGGCCTCTGTATATTTTTTCTTTATCCTCATGAATCTGTCTCTACCTTCCCGTCTCCCCCTCTGTTTCTTCTCTTCAACTTTCCCTTTGTCTCCCGTCCGCCTGGTTCTGTCTCTTTCCTTTCTCCTTTCCGCTTTTCCTTTCTATTTCTGACTTCTTGTTTCTCTTTCTCGCATTCTTCTATCTTCCTTACTCATTGGATTTCTCTCTTTTCTCTTTGCTACATTCTTTTCCTGTTGATACTGCTTTGTTCCTGTCTTCCTGCCTTTTCTTTTTCCTGATCCCCCCTCATTCCCTGTCTTCTCCGTTTTTCTCATCTCCCTATCATTATTATCTTTCCCCTCAACCCCTTGTCTCTATCCCCCTTCCCATTTCTTCTCTCTACTTTTCCACGTCTCTCTTGACCTCTGTCTCTGTCTTCTTACCTGTATGTCTCTCTTCCTATGTATTGCCTCATTCTTTCTACCCTATATGCTTCCTACCCGATGCCATTTTTTCCCTTCTCTCTCCTTCTTTACCTGCCTCCCCATCCTTTCTGCCCCTGTTGGAGTCCTGGCCCATGTCTGCCACTGCAGGAAGTGGAGGTACTGCTGAGTGAAAATGAGATGCTGCAGGCAAAGCTGCACGGCCAGGAGGAGGACTTCCGTTTGCAGAACAGTACACTTATGGCCGAGTTCAGCAAGGTGCTGGTGCCCGGGATAGCTGGGGGGTGGGATGGGAATGGGGCACCTGTGTATGCATGGGCAAGCCCACCTAGGCTGAAAGCGCAGCAGTAGAGGGTGGACAGGGGCTGGCGCTGAGCACTGTCCATGGTGCTGAAACAGGCCATCGTCTGTTGCTGGGGGCAGCAATTTGACAGGTGGGGCCACACACTCATGGAATTAGATCCTTGGAGCCCGGAGTTCATTTGGTTCCTAAGCCACTCCTTTTATTTAATTCAAGTCTCCATTTGTATAATTTGGGGCTGGTGCTATGGAGCCCCAGTATGTTCTGGGACTTTAAAATTCTTATTGCTTAATATGGATGGAAAAGTGTTTGAACTGCTCCCCTTTTCTTTCTCTTTCCTTCGTCTGACATGAGTCTGGGGTTCCACTTCTTCCAGGTAATTCACCCTGGATTGACTAATTCTGTCTCCTCACTGGTTTTAATTTCCTGGCTGTTTCTAACCCTACTGGGCAGCTAGAGAGCCCATGATTTATTCTCCTACTTGTCTTCTGTATCCATGGTTGATCATTTTGTGAGTTTCAGTGTATTTTAAAGAAAAATATGCTGTAGAAAAAATAATGTTATTTCCAAGGCTCCATCTGATGGGACTCTACTGCTTTAAAAAGCAGAAGAAGAGCAATGCAGTCACAATACACGTATACAATAAGAAATTGTCAGAAATAACAAAGAAAAAATAACAAGAAAAAACCACACAGAGCCTTGGGATGTGACTTAAGCGGCAGAGTGCCTGACTCACGTGAATGAACTCCTGGGTTTGATCCCCAGCACTGTATAAACTGTGTGTGGTGGCACATGCCTGTTATCTTAGCACTTGGGCAGTAGAGGCAGGACAGTCAGAAGCCTAAGATCATCCTTGGCCAGACTGGGCTACATTACAAATCAAAGAATAAAGAAAAATACTTAAAAAGTCAAAACCTCAAGACAAAATCCAACAGAAGTCAGTCTTTAAGCAGTTAGAATGCCAGGACAGACAGTTTAGCAGTCCGTCAGTCATTCTGAGTAAGGACTCTGGACCCAGAAGGTCTAGATTAAGATCTTGGCTGTACCTTTTACTAACTATGATATTAAGCAAGTCCCTTGGCCTCCTGTTTCTTGATTGTCAAATGTTTAAAATGGAAATGGTGATGATAGAGGTACCTGCCTCATAGGGCTTTTATGAGAAGGATTCAGTGGGCGAATCTATGTAAGTCTCTTAAAGCCTCCTACATAGATAGTCTGAGCTATGGAAGTGTTCACTAGGGACATTATCTCATTAGTTCATTTTCCCTCTAAACTATGTCTTGACTTGTTTGTGGTGACGAAGATCCAACCCAGGGATCCTGCATGCTAAGCATGTGTTCTACCACTGTGCCACATTCCCATTCCTTTTCATACTTAAGAAAATTATTAACCAGCAGATGGCGGAGAACAAACGAAGGTAACTGAGAAGAAAGTGTTTTATAAGCAGGATCTTGGAATATGACTCAGTGGAAGAGTGCTTGCTTAGTATGAAACATATTTGTATTCATTTTGTGTTTCATCCTCTGCTTCCACAGCCTTTTGATCTCCTTACTTTGAATTTTCTCTATTGGTCCACTCCACTATTCCACAGAAGTTATCCCGACCTCTAGATCTTATCACACTTTAATCAATACCTTCTGGTATGAGCCCCTCTCCCCAGTCCCTGGAGCTTTCTGGTGCTCTCATAACTATTGGTAGTGTTTTTCTGCACCACCCTGGGCTCCTTCATAATCCCCTTCCTCCTCCTCTCGGGCCCTTATGGTACTTACAGAAAGACCTGATGCTAGAGCCTGCCAAGAGAGTTCATCAGCTCAGTTGTTCCTTTGATAAGTAGTCAGAGGGACTGCTGTGGATTCTGTGTTCTGGAAATCAAGTTGTGAGCTGTACAGAATGGTCCTAACTCTTGGGGAACTTGCTGCTATCGTTTGCTTTCAATGGCTGGGATAAAACACTGACCAAAACCAATCTGGAGAGGAAAGAGTTTATTTGGCTTATAGTTCACAATCCATCATTGAAGGAAACCAAGTCAGGAACTGGAGGCAAGAACTGAAGCAGAGGCCATGGAGGGGACACCTCTTATTAGCTGGCTCTCCATGGATCACTCAGCCTGCTTGTCCCCCATCTCAGGGGTAGCACCACTCACAGTGGGCTGGATCCTCCCATATCAATCACTAATCAAAAAAATGTCCAACAGAGCCGGGCGGTGGTGGCGCACGCCTTTAATCCCAGCACTCGGGAGGCAGAGCCAGGCGGATCTCTGTGAGTTCGAGGCCAGCCTGGACTACCAAGTGAGTCCCAGGAAAGGCGCAAAGCTACACAGAGAAACCCTGTCTGGAAAAAAAACAAACAAACAAAAAAATGTCCAACAGACTCACCTGCATACCAAGCTGATGGAGGCATTTTCTCAATTGAGGTTTTCTCTTCCCAGATGACCCTAGATTGTGTGAAGTTGACAAAAACCTGTCCAGAACACTGACATTTTGTAGGTGGGATGAGGTGGGGGAAATAATAATAGTGATCGTTTACTAATGCTGTTTCTTCTATACCTATTCCCATTTGAATTGCTCTACATTATTCATTCAATTCTTACAATACAATTGTGAGATATTTTTAGTATCCCTTTTTAATGGACGAGGAAAATCGAGCCCCAGGGAAGTGAAGTAATTTGTCCCAAGATCACCCAGCTGGGAATTGGTAGAGTAAGAATTCATGTCCAAGCAGTTTAGTTTCAGACTCTGTTTTGTGATTCCATGTAACAAAATCAAATTTAGCCAGGCATGATGGTGGTACATGCCTGTAATCCCAGCATTTAGAAGACTGAGGTAAGATTTTGAGTTCAAGACCAGCCTGGGCTGACCAACCTGGGCTACATGGTGAGATTATATCTTAAAGAACAACAACCAAAAAAAAAAAAAAAACCCAAACAAACAAAACAAAAACAAAAACAACCCACAAAATGAAATTTAAAAAACACCACCAACAAATAAATTTAATTGTGATTGATACTAGGTCAGAAATAAGTGAACAGAGAGTGCTGTGGTCAAATACTAGAAGTTTTTGTGTTGGCTAACCCTACTTTAGAGATGATATCTGAGTAGAGCGGTAAGATACATAGAAGCCAGTCAGGTGAAGAAATGGTTAAAAGAAATGGTGTTATATCCTAGGCAATAAAATAAGAAAATTTTTTGTGGGCCTCAGTAGTCTGATCTGAAAGTGAAGACAGGGTGTTGTCGTGTGAAACTATTGTTTTAACCAGGATGTGAAAGAACAGTGGGGCGTGCTGAATTTTATTTTCATGGCGTACCTCTCCAAAGCTAAAGACTGGAAGTATAAAAACTGTAAGCTGTGTTTACTCTGGAAATGTCTTGCAAGCTGTCTGTGATGCCTGGGTTGAGAGGGAGCTGTCCTTGGACCCAGGAATGTAGGACATTTTTCCACATGTGGTGGGGGTAAGGGACGGGTGTCAGTGGGGCTGTCCATGGTGCTTAACAGCTTCCATAGCAACCTGAGGTCTTTGCATCTGAGAGGTTGGGAGTCGGCAAAGGGAAGGTTGTTCTCAGTATTCTCACCCTTTTTGACTTTGCTACTTAACAGATGTGTAAATTGGAAATTGTTTAATATCTCTGTGTCTCAGTGTCTGTATCCGCAAAGTATAAGAGGAACTGCGTTATAGGGTTCTTGTGGGAATTTAATGAATTCTACACTGAGTGGCCGAGTGCTATTTGTGTTTTGGTGGGTACTGTTCTGATTTGCTATTTCCCTGTCATCTTTCTCCCCCTGCTCAGCTCTGCAGTCAGCTGGAGCAGCTGGAGCTGGAGAACCAACAACTGAAGGAAGGGGCTGCTGGAGCAGGAGCTGTTCAAGCTGGGGCACATGTGGATGGGGAGCTACTGCGGCTGCAGGCAGAGAACACAGCCTTGCAGAAGAACATGGCAGGTGCATGGAGGCCTTCCTGGGATAGAGGGACCTCACGTCTTGAGCAGAGCCACCATGGATATAGTCTTCTTATGGGAAAGAGAAGACATTTCAGAGTGAGACTCGATCTTGCCTGAACTAGTGTGAGAGTTTGCATTTTGGAGGGCATTTTACCTCTCTGAGTCTAAACTTGCTCATCTACACAGTACACCAGAATATTTGTACCAGAAAGGTGGAACAATTTAAGAGGTTGCACTCTGCATTAGTTCAGTGTCTGGTTCTTAGCAGATGTTAGAGAACAGCAGAATGAATGTTGAAAAGGAGATAATGACTAAGCAGAAATAGAATATTGGAAAGATTCTGAGCCCAGATTGTAAATAGGGTCTGAGACGAAGGCAGAAAAACGGCTTGATAGAGTGTGAGAAGGGTCTGACACAGGACCTTTGGTGAGTAGCTGGGGCTTATATGGTGGTGGGTACTGGTTCCACGATCAGGAATGAGGCCAGGTACAGTATGGGTAGGAATTAGGTCATATATGTAAATATGGTATGGAACATGGTAGATAGGATTTTAGAGGTTGGTGAGGCTTAAAAATTGTTTATGACAGGCCCGAAGGAGGCTTCATCTGTGGCAGGGTTATGTGCAGCCTGAGAGGCTGGAGGATAGATAGTTCTCCCTGTGTTTGAGACATAACAAGGGGCTTTAGAGACAATTTTATTCATTATACGTTCTTTTTTTCTTATTTATATTTTTTTTGTTTGTTTGTTTGTTTGTTTTTCGAGACAGGGTTTCTCTGTGTAGCTTTGCGCCTTTCCTGGAACTCACTTGGTAGTCCAGGCTGGCCTCGAACTCACAGAGATCCGCCTGGCTCTGCCTCCCGAGTGCTGGGATTAAAGGCGTGAGCCACCACCGCCCGGCCTTATTTATATTTTTTATGTGTGAGTGCTCTGCATGTATACCTGCCTGCCAGAAGAGGGCACCAGATCTCATTACAGACAGTTGTGAGCCACCATGCGGTTGCTAGGAATTGAACTCAGGACCTCTGGAAGAGCAGCCAGTGCTCTTATCCTCTGAGCCATCTCTCCAGCTCCCCCCCCCCCCCAATCATACATTCTTGTTCTATTCAACAGCACTGCAGGAGCGCTATGGGAAAGAGACTGTGAGACCTTCAGCTGCAAGTGATGGCCAAGGGGATCCCCCAGGAGATGCACTCGCCCCTGCCCTGGCCCCCATGCCATTGGCAGAAGTGGAGCTGAAATGGGAAATGGAGAAAGAAGAAAAGAAACTGCTCTGGGAGCAGCTGCAAGGCTTAGAGGTGAATTTGGGTCTCTTGGGACTGGGATGCTGGGAGACAGCAGATGCCCTACTCCTGCCCGTGGGCCCATGGAGATGTCGGTGACATCACCATCTCATGGGCTAAAGGGAGGCGGGACAGGCAGAAGGAGAGGCCTTCCTCCATCCTTGCTGATAACAACTCCATCCCTTATCTTCCCCCCCCTACCACCCGCAGAGCTCAAAGCAAGCTGAAACCTCCAGACTACAGGAGGAACTTGCTAAGGTGGGGTTTGCCGCTGCCTGGCTTTCTCCTGACAGCAGAGGAGCATTGTGCATCCTCAGAGCTTCAGTTTGATCATGTGTGAAATAGAGGCTCACAAATCTCAGAGTTGCTTTTATTGTGGAATAAGCTAATGTGGTCTCATTCTACCTTGTGCATGGCAGGTCCCATCCCTTCTGTTTCCTCACAGCTTTGCCAATTCATCCATATAAGAATGCCCTTAGAACCTGGAGGCCCAGTGGTGAGACAACCGATCAGGATCCTCCTTTCCAGGCCTCCCCGCCTAGCTGTTCTGTGATGTGGCCATTGGCCACTGCTTTGGGAGCATAAACAATGGCCTTGGGAGTCCAAGGGGGCTAGCTGAAGATGGTGTTGCCGCTGCTGACAGCTGGGCCATCAAATTGCTTAGCCCTTCTGAGACTCAGTAAATCAGATTTATAAAATGAGTAGCTCTCAGTTCTCAAGGATGTCCTGAGAGTTCCACAAGAATATCCTAGGTAAAACTCAACTTGTAGGAAGGACTCACTATGAAGTATCTATAAATGTTGTTATCGTTTATTTTATTTTGTCAATATTCTCATTATTATTTGTCTATACTGCTTCCTCTTTCTCCCTCAGCTCTCTGAGAAACTGAAAAAGAAACAGGAAAGGTATACTTTTCTTTGCCAGGGGTTTGGGGGCCTAGAGAGAGAGGGATGGACTTGTGGAAATAACGTATCTATGCCCGTCTTTCTCTGCCCAGTTTTTGCCGTCTGCAGACGGAGAAGGAGACATTATTTAATGACAGCAGGTAACGATTGGGGTTGTCAGTAGGGGGGAAAACAGAGACCATGCCCGGTCAAATAAGCAGAGACCGCAGGTGCAGTGATGGGAGCCTGGGCCTCTAGCCATGCCTAATGTACTCTATCCTTGTCACCCCTAGAAACAAAATTGAAGAATTACAACAGCGGAAGGAAGCCGATCTCAAAGCCCAGTTGGCTCGCACCCAAAAGCTGCAGCAGGAACTTGAGACTGCCAATCAGGTAATGGGGGCTGGGTCTCAAGATTTCTTGGAGTCTGGGGAGATATGAGGTCTTTAGAGACTGATTAGGATGTCTGAGATTTGGAAATATAGCAACCTGATAGATATGTGTAAGCCCTCCAAGAGCTAGAAAAATGGGAACTCAGAAACCCAAGAGCCCTAGAAGTTGGGTTAGGAGTTTACATGAATCAGAGATCCTGAGGTGGGAGTCTAAGGACTCTGTGTACCACAATTTTGTATGAGTCAGAACTTTCACTGGAGTCTGGGACCAGGAATTAGGGTGAATGTGAGCTGTGGAACTCTCCCAGTAGAAACCAAACCGGGTGATGCTGAGACCTTTAAAAGCCATGATATCAGCTAGGTGTAGGGGCGCACTCCTTTAGTCCCAGCACTTGGTAGGCACAGCCAGGTGAATCTCTGTGAGTTCAAGGCCAGCCAGAGATACATAATGAGTCCCTGTTTCAAAATAAGTATAAGAATAAGAATTTAAAAGCTGTGATATCAGTACATTGAAGACTCCTAGAGCTCAAAGACGGGGGTTGAGTAGATACTGGACTTTCAAATATGGGGTTGGAGCTGGAGGCAGAGTATAGTTGAGATCTTCAGGGTCTGGAAAGCTGTTTTGGTTCTGTGATGTTAAGAAGTGGGTTCAGCTGGGCAGTGATGGTGCACGCCTTTAATCCCAGCACTCTGGAGGCAAAGACAGGTGGATCTCTATGAGTTCGAGGCCAGCCTGGTCTACAGAGTGAGTTCCAGAACTGGCTCCAAAGCAACAGAGAAACTCTATCTTGGAAAAAATTTTTTTTTTTTTTTTTTTTTTTTTTTTTTTTTTTTTTTGGTTTTTCGAGACAGGGTTTCTCTGTGTAGCTTTGCGCCTTTCCTGGAACTCGCTTTGGAGACCAGGCTGGCCTCGAACTCACAGAGATCCGCCTGGCTCTGCCTCCCGAGTGCTGGGATTAAAGGCGTGCGCCACCACCGCCCGGCGGAAAAAATTTTAAAAAGGGCTGGGCGGCAGTAGCGCATGCCTTTAATGCCAGCACTTGGGAGGCAGAGCCAGGTGGATCTCTATGAGTTCGAGGCCAGCTTGATCTACACAGCGAGATCCAGGACAGGCACCAAAACTACACAGAGAAACCTTGTCTCAAAGAAAGAAAGAGAGAGAGAGAGAGAGAGAGAGAGAGAGAGAGAGAGAGAGAGAGAGAGAGAGAGAGAGAGAGAGAGAGAGAGAGAGAGAGAGAGAAAGAAAGAAAGAAAGAAAGAAAGAAAGAAAGAAAGAAAGAAAAAGTGTGTTCATGTGGGGTGGGTGGTCTTGAGGTTCTGAGATCCTTGGTGGCAGTGAAAAGCTAAGACCTCCAAAGGCTAGAACAGACGTTCACATGGGTATGAAGTTCCTGGGGATCAGGGCTGTCTGACTTTAAGGCCTCTAAGTTTCCCCCGAGAGGAAGCAAGTCTGAAGTTTCTTGGAATGGAGGATATGGTAGCTTGTGGGAGCAGGGCCCCTAAAAGATTACAGTCTGAAGGCTGGGATAGATTCTGGATAAAATCCTCAGGAGCTGTTGGTGATCTAGGTCTAAAGATTCCCAGAGACAGGAAGCCAGAGTGGCAATGGAGATGGGTCAGTCTGAGGCTTCTTCAAGAGCTGGAAACTAGGAGATTGTGAGTTTGTGATCTTTATGGTCTGGGACTAGGAGTTTGTGTGAACTAGGAGCCGGCTCCTAAGCTTGGGACATTGGGGTTAAGTATGTCAACAACTCCTGGTGGTTAGGGTCTGGAGATGGGTAGGAGTTACAGTCCCTGGGGGCTGAAAATCCTGGGGCTCCCAAGCTCGAATTTGGGTGACTATGAGCCCCTCAGAAGCTACCTTCAGGAACTTAGGTGCGTCAGAAATGCTCAGAGGCTGGGAGAGAGGGAGTGTTTGAGAGCCCTGTGCATACTAGCTTGGAATCTGGACGAACCTGAGATCTCTGATAGCTAGTTCAAGCCTCACAGGTGCTGAGAACATGCTGTTAGGTGGTCACAGAGGGAGTCTGTATATCTGTGTGCACCCAGGGAAGGATGAGGTCTGGAATGGGGTTACCTGACTTCCCACAGAGCTTGGCAGAGCTAAGAGATCAGCGGCAGGGGGAGCGCCTGGAGCATGCAGCAGCATTGCGGGCCCTACAAGATCAGGTGCGTTGTACTTGGTGGGCTTGGGAGCTGGGCTTGAGGGTGGCAGCAGGCTGAGTTGGTATTTTACAGGCAAGCATGGCCCAAGGGGTCTTGCTTTTCCTAGTCCTGGTCTGTGTGTCTCTGTGTCTGTTTCCTTTCTTTCTTGGCTGCGGGTAGTTCCTGTCCCTCTGTTCTGGACCTGCTCTCACCTGTCGTGGGGGTGGGGCCAGGTGTCCATCCAGAGTGCAGATGCGCAGGAACAAGTGGAAGGGCTTCTGGCTGAGAACAACGCCTTGAGGACTAGCTTGGCTGCTCTGGAGCAGGTACAGGACACCTGGGAGCCCTTGCTGATCGCTCCCTGTTTCCTTTATCTCTCTCTGCTTTTGGTCCACATCTGGCCAGGGTGGTCTGGACCCTTTACTCTTCTGTGGTTTCTGTTTCTGTTCTTCCTTTCTGTTGGCTTCCAGCCTTCTTCTTCATCTCTTCCTGCTTTTCTGACATTCTAGTTTCTCTGTGATAAAGTGCATGAAACGTAATAATCTTAAGTATGCACTCAGTGAATCCAATATCTCTATCTATTCATGTTCCTTTATAACTCTATATAGCCACCTTCTAGAACAAGATACAGACCATTTTTCAGTATGCTAGAAGATCCTTTTACCCTTCTAGTCAGCATATTCTTGGAAGTAACCAGTATTCTGACCTTTAGTAACATAGATTCATGTTGCTTGTTTTTTTCATATAAATGAAATTGATGCTATTCTGTCCTTGCCTGCTTGCTGGTACCTCTGTCTGTGAGCTTTATCAGTATGTGACATGGGTTCTTTTATCACTGCATAGTATTTTATTGCATGAATATTCCACTAACCTCCCTGCTTTTCTATTTTAAATTTTCTGTCTTTCTACCTCTCATCATACTCCTCTCTCTATCTCCCTGGAACTGGGAGACCCAGGGGTTCCTGGGCATTAGGGTTCCCTGCATCCCATTTCCCACCATTACTACTTTCTCCAGATCCAGACATCAAAGACACAAGAACTGAATACGCTTCGGGAACAGACCACTGAATTGGCAGCTGAGTTACAGCATCGGCAGGCTGAATATGAAGATCTTATGGGACAGAAAGATGACCTCAACTCCCAGCTCCAGGTGATGCTTCTGACCTGACTTGTAGTTTCTTAGTCCTGGTGCACTGAATTGTCCTTGAGGCATGGTGAGAAGACTTTGGAGCCAGGGAGACCTGGATTCCTGGCTGGCTCCTTAACATCCTGGTGTCTATATGTTCTGAAACGGGGAATTTTACTTCTGCAAAACTGAGCTTCCTCAGTTAAAGTTTCTGTTCTGGTATCATAATGTACAGATTGAATGTCTTCATATGTGATGTTTGTGTTTGCTTCAGATTTTGTCCCATTTGGGAATATTTGCATCTAATTACTGAGATATTTGGGGGATGAAACCTAAATCTAAACATACCTTATACATACAGCCTAAAGGTAATTTTATAAAATACTTTTAGTGCTCCTGATTTTTGTTTTGAGACAAGGTAGAGCTCCCTATGTAGCCCTGGCTGTCCTAGTACTTGCTATTTAGACCAGGCTGGCCTTGAACTCACAGAATTCCACTTGTCTCTGCCACACAGCTGCTGAGATTAAAGGCGTGTGCCACCTCACTTAGCACTTACACATTTTGAGAGTGACCTATCGTTGGTGACCAGGTGTGGAATTCCTATATGTGGCATTATGTGCATACTTGAAAATTTTCAGATTTTAAGCCAGGTATACTGGTGTGTGCTTATAATCCTAGCACTCAGGTAGCTGAGGCAGGAGGATTGCCAAAAGCTACAGAGTGAATACTAGGCCATCCAAGGCTATATAGTAAGACTTTGTCTGAAAGAAACATAAAAAGTTTCAGATTTGGGGTTTTAGGATGAAGGATGCTTAGCCTGGAGAAACTAGAATAATACTGGAGTAAATAAGAAAGAAATTTGGGGGCTGGGTGGTGGTGGCACTCGCCTTTAATTCTAGCACTTAAGAGGCAGAGTCAAGCAGATCTCTTTGAATTTGAAGCCAGCCTGGTCTACATAGTGAGTTCCAGGCTAGGCAGGTATATATAGTGAAACCCTGTCTCAAGAAAAAAAAGTGTAGGGCTGGTGATAGAGCTTAGTTAACACGTGCATGCACAAAGCCCTGGGTTCAATCCACAGCACCGCATAAACCAGGCTCTGTGATGTACACCTATGATCTCAGCACTTAGGAGGTAGCGATAGAAGGATCAGAAGTTTAAGGTCATCCTAACTACATAGCAAGATCAAGGCCAGCCTGGGCTTCATGAGCAGACCTTGTATCAAAGCAGGGTGCTGGGGAGATGGTTGAGTGGGTAAGAGTGCTTGCTTTCTAAGCATGAGGATGTGAGTTCAGATCCCAGCGCCATGTCAAAAGTGTGTCCATAACTCCAATGCTGGGAGGGCGGGGAGGTGATGACAGGAGACTTGCCAAAAACTGTGAGCAACAGATTCAGTGAGAGACCTTGGCTCAAAGAAATGAGGTCAAAAGTGAGAGGAAGACACTCAGTCTCCTCCTCTGGTCTCTGCATATATGCATGTTAGGCACACAAAGGGTTCATACACACACACACATGCCCGCATACAAGTTTAGTTTTCTCTTATGTAAAATGATTAAGTAGGGAGTGTGGCATGGTGGCACTCAGTAGTCTGAGGCAGGAGGATTGCTATGAGTTTAAGGCCAGCCTAGGCTACAGAGTGAGACCTTGTCTCAAAAAGAAAAACAACAAAATAATAAGTAGGTTGTTCAGGGATGAATGATGGTAATGATGGTTTTTTTTTCTTTTTTGTTTAATTTGTTTGAGACAGTTATTTGTTATGTATTCCTGGCTGGCCTGGTACTCATTGTGTAGCCAAGGCTAGCCTCAAACTCATGGCAGTCATCCTGTCTCAGCCTCCTAAGAACTACTATTTCAGTCATGAGCCACCACACCTGTCTTGATTTATGAGTAGCCAATCACCAGTGACCTAGGTTCCTTCTTCTTTGCTATTTTACAGCCTTTGACACAGACTTCTAGCCTTTGCTTCCAGAATAGCTGTTGAAACTGGTTCACCTTCATGTTTACATTGTAGATGAAAGGAAAGAGGAAAGGAGCAGTGAATAGTAAAGAGTACCTTCCTTTCTTTTAAGAATACACTCTGCTGAGTACGGTGGTTCATGCCTATAATCCTAGCACTCAGAAAGCTCACACAGGGCTGGAGAGATGGCTCAGCAGTTAAGAACACTGGCTGCTCTTCCAGGGTTCAATTCTCAGTGCCCACATGACAGCTCACAACTGTCATAACTCAAGTTCCAGGGGAACTGATGCCTCCTTCTGGCCTCCCTGGGCACCAGGCACATGTGTGGTGCACAGACATACATGCAGGTAAAACATCAATACACATAAAACAGAATAAATCTAAAATAAATAAAAAATTAAAAAATAAAAAGAAAGCTAAGACAGGAGGATTGTGAATTTGAGGCCAGCCTGGGCAACACAGCAAGACAGTGTCTCAAAAAAAAAAGAAATCATAACAAGTGACACGCACCTTTATTCCAAGCTCTTGGGAGGCAGAGGCAGAGGCAGATGGATCTCTATGAGCTCGAGACCAGCCAGGGATACATAGTGGGATCCTGTCTCAAAAACAAACAAACAAAAAATCATAATAATAAATTGAGAGAGAGAAAGAAAGGAAGGAAGGAAGATAAGCGTTCTCGTTCTTGGCCATCTTGGAGGCTGCTCTTGGGCGGGGCCTCTCCTGCACCTAAGGCAGATGATGGTGGCTGCAAAGAAGATGGCAGTCTCTGGAGTCCATCAACTGCAGGTTCCACTCTGTCATGAAAAGTGGAAAGTGCATGCTGCAACACCAGCAGCCTCTGAAGATGATCAAACAGGGAAAGATGAACTGCCCAGCTTGGAGGCACTCGGAGATAGGATACCATTATTCCATGTGGGCTAAAACTGTTGTCCATCACCACTGTGGCAATAATATTGAGCTGGGTGCAGCATATGGAAAATATTACGGAGTATGTGCACTGGCTTCATTGACCCAGGTGATTCTGGTATTAGAGGCATGCCAGAACAGACTGGTAAAAAGTAAAGCAGGAAAGTTTTTTCTTTAAAAAAACTTACCAGAGCTTGTTCCAGGCGTGGTGTTCGATGCCTGTAACTTTAGCATTTGGTAGGTAGAGGCAGGATTAGGAGTTTAGGGTCATTGGCTACATAGGAAGTTTGAGATGAGGTCCTATCTCAAGAAAAGACTTTTGACATAAGCCCTTGTCTGAAAAAGAAAAAAAGGAGTGTAGCCTGGCATGACTGAATGCACCTTTAATCCCAGCACTCGAGAGGCAGAGGCAGAAGCAGATAATTCCAGGCCAGCCTCATCTACATAGAGAGTTCCAGGCAGGCCAGGAATACACAGTGAGACCCTGTCTCCAAAAAAGAGAAAAGAACACAAAGAAACAAGAAACAAATCATGTGGCCCTACCTGGCTGTGAAGGAGGAGAGAGAAATGCTTTAGACTGTCATGTTCCCAACGTGAATTCTGTTGCTAAGGGAGTGCGGGCCAATAGTACTGGGGAGCAAGCTGCAGGGCCTGTCATTTTCCCTTTATGATTGCGATTATAACGCCCACTTTACTAGGGAAAGGTCTACTAGAAGTGTTCTAGATGACCAGGGACTGCCCTCCAACTCTTCCCCTTCTTTTCTGAATTAGGAGTCACTAAGGGCCAATAGGCGGCTGCTGGAACAGCTTCAAGAAATGGGTCAGGAGAAGGAGCAGTTGACCCAGGACCTCCAGGAAGCTCGGAAGGTGGGGCTCCACGGGAAGAAGGAAAGAGCTGGCTCGGTCCAGGAGGGTAGGAAGTGATAAGGCCAAATCTTGGGAATGGAAAGAGAAAGAAAACGACCTTTTCCTAAAGGATGGGTGAATGACTCAGCCAGTGTGGAGGGCCAGGGAAGAGTCCTGGCTAGTTCCTTGGGCATGGACCAGAATGGTGGTCATGTTGTGGGGTTGAGAGATGAAGTTCATTGCCATTCTCTTGGCCCACCCTCCTGGTCCCCAGACTGCTGAGAAACGGAAGGCCATGCTGGATGAGCTAGCAATGGAGACAATGCAGGAGAAGTCCCAGCACAAAGAAGAGTTGGGAGCTGTCCGATTACGGCATGAGAAGGAGATGCTGGGGGTGCGAGCTCGTTATGAGCGTGAGCTTCGAGAGCTGCATGAGGACAAGAAACGGCAGGAGGAGGAGCTCCGGGGGCAGATTCGGGAGGAGAAGGTGGGTGGGGCAACGATGCCCCCTTTCTCCTCTGAGAGCTGAAGACCATGGTGTTGCTAGTGGGCAGGTTCGTGATAGGAAGGGTGCCCAGTCCTCTGCTGCCCAACTCCTGACTGTCTTCCCCTTCCAGGCTCGAACAAGAGATTTGGAGACTCTTCAGCACACTGTAGAAGAACTTCAGGCTCAGGTACACTCCATGGATGGAGCCAAGGGCTGGTTTGAACGGCGCTTGAAGGAGGCTGAGGTGAGTTAGTGGTACCTAGTAAAGGTGCAAAGCTGGTTAGGGCCACCCATGCTCTGCCTTTGTGCAGATTTGAACAGGCATGTCTTCTTCCCGGATTGTTCCTCTGCCAAAAAGTTATAAAATATTATCTTTCCATGTTTGGCAATACACTCATTTTTACTTTAACAAGAACATCTATTGCCTTTTTCTGGACAAGTCATGACAGTAATAAGGGGCAGTGTCCTGTAGCGGAGAAGAGGACACACTGGAGCCAGGTGTGGCCCTAAGTTTGCGTGCTGGCTGGCCCGCTCCCTAGCTGTGTGACCTTATGCAAAGCATTTCATCTCTCTATGGCCCGTTTCACCTTTGGCAGAGAGCAGCATGAGGCCTCAGGTTCAATTCCCGGCAGCAAAAATATTAATGATGAGAAAAATGCCTTACTGTAGAGATATTTTAGGAAGATTCTAGAAAATTACTTAATATATGTACAACCATTTGAACATTCCTGGCATGCAGTGTCATTTTGTTAAATAAGGAAATATAAATGTCTATCACTCGATCTACTGTGTGAATGGCGTAGGCTCCCACTTCATACTTCTGCCATAGGGCATGTGCTGTTTCCTACAATATGCTTTCTGCCTGGCATGGCAGTGAGTTACCTATAAATCCTAGCACTCAATAGGCTGAAGCAGGATTGAGAGTCCAAAGCCAGTGCAGTCTATATACTGAGACCTTGTCTCAAAGTAAAAAGGTATTTTTGTCATGCCCCAAGAACTCTGCTGAAATTCACATGCCCTTGACTGGACACACCATCTTTTGGGGGCCATGAGCAGACCTGGGACTCTTTTTACAGGAATCCTTGCAGCAGCAGCAACAGGAACAGGAAGAAGCTCTCAAGCAGTGCCGGGAGGAGCATGCTGCTGAGCTGAAGGTGACTGTCACATGATGATGTTCCTGTGTCGGGGTACCAGGTGGCACTGCAGGAGAGCAGGGACTTCTCAGGCAACGGTCTGAGCTGCTGTTTGCTTTGCAGGGCAAAGAGGAAGAGCTACGGGACGTGCGGGATCAGCTCCAGCAGGCCCAGGAGGAACGAGATGGTCATGTGAAGACCATCAGCAGCCTGAAGCAGGTCTGTGGTATCTCTGTGGTCCCAGACATAGCCGTGGCCTAAGCTTGCAGAATGGGGGGAGGAGGGGGTCCGCCTGCCAGCTGTGCCTTCTCTAACCACAGGAGGTAAAGGACACAGTGGATGGGCAACGGATCCTGGAAAAGAAGGGCAGTGCTGCGGTAAGCTAGTGAGGCCTGTGATCCCCCCCCCTCCTTTACGGAGCCCCTGGGCCGCGGCTCTTACCCCTCCACACACACACCTTTAGCTCAAAGACCTTAAGAGGCAGCTGCACCTGGAGCGGAAACGGGCTGACAAGCTGCAGGAGCGGCTGCAGGACATCCTCACCAACAGCAAGAGCCGCTCAGGTGAGAGAGAGGCAGGATGGGTGGAAGTCAGCCTTTGGGCTGCTTGCTGGACCTCCCTCAGCCTTTGCTCCAGCCCGTCGTGCTGCCTGAGTGCTCTCTCTTTTCTCTCTCTGCACTGTCTCCTTGCTTTCTGTTTGTGTCTTCTCACTGCCTTCTCTGTTCCTCTCTCTGCTTATGTTCTTTCTGTTTGCCCTGTATCCACCGTGATTTCTCTGCTTTCTCTACTGTTTCTATTCTTGTACTTTAGAAATCCTCATATAAGTTTAGGATCCGTGACACAAGCCCCACCCCCCAAGTCATTCCCCTCCAGGAACTCACAGTGAGTCACGGGAGACTGAATTCCATAGGCAACAGCACTACACTATCTCCTCCTCCTCCTCCTCCTCCTCCTCCTCCTCCTCCTCCTCCTCCTTTTCTTCTTCTTTTTTTTTTGAGACAGGACTTCTCTGTGTAACAGTCCTGGCTGGCCTCGAACTCACAGAGATCTGCCTGGCTCTGCCTTCTGAGTGCTGGGATTAAAGGCGTGCACCACCACTGCCCAGCTCTAATGCATCTCTTAAAACACAGACAGGCTTAGGGAAAAATTGCTGTCAACCAAGGTGCTGGGGGAACCCCACACAGCATTGCACCCTTTTGGAGACTCCTTTGGAGTATGGTACTAACCCTTTCCCGAGACCCAAAGCAGCTCTAAGGGCAGGGTCTCAAACTCATCAAGGAATCCACTTGCAGGCATGTACCACCATGCTCAGCAAGGGTTCAAGTGACATGGCGAGACATACAGCTCTCACCAAACCAACTTCTCACTCAGACACTCAGCCTCCTGAAGTAACCTCTCATTATAATAGAGGTGTTTTGTTAATAGATTACGAAGTAGATTAGGGAGTAGATTAGAATTTTATACTGTACATCTTTCTTATCCACTAGATGGGACGAAGGTCTAGGTGAATGGCTACAAGTCTGTCCCCATCTTCGTTCTGACCTTGATCTGAACGTGTCTTTCTCTGTGGTCTGTCAGTCTCCATCATGTGCTGGCTTCCTGTCCCCGGGCTTCCCCTGCATGTGTGCTGCCACCCACTGTCCACTCTCAGCCTTCCTTTTTCTGCATCTAAGTTTGAGTGCCTGCGCCACTGGAGTCTGTGTCTGCTCTTTGCCCTTTCGCCCAGCCTCATCCACTTCCCTTTCTGTCACTGGATGTGTTTACCAACAGGGATGGCTCCTTGTTTTGTCCTGCTCCAGTCCTGGAGTTTGCTTGCCTGAATATGGCTCTCTTTCTCTTTCCATCTCTGGCAAATCTGTGCCTCTTCCTGCTAGTTCTTCCTGAGATTCCAAGGGATCCGGACTCAGGTTTCTTTTTCCTCCACTCCCCAGGCATTGAGGAGCTGGTTCTCTCTGAGATGAACTCACCAAGCCGGACTCAGACAGGGGACAGTAGTAGCATCTCTTCCTTCAGCTACCGGGAGATCTTGAAGGAGAAGGAGAGCTCAGCCATCCCAGCCAGGGTAAGGGGCAAGTTTCACCTACTAAGACTGGAGTATCCCCATTTTCCCCACTTGAAGTTATCTACTCTGACCTTCAGACAAGCATTTCTTCTCTGACTTTCTATGTCTCTCTCTCTCTCTCTCTCTCTCTCTCTCTCTCTCTCTCTCTCTCTCTCTGTAAGTGTGTGTCTGTCTCTGGTCTCTCTCAGGCTAAGGACTGAACCTGGGGCCTCACACATACACATACATGCAGAACACATGTCAACATTTGCTGTTCTACTAAGATGCAGCCCCAGCCCCTGACACAAACATTTTGCCAACTTCTCCCCAAATTCATCAACTTAATTTAAGGCTGCTATATGGGAGACAGGCCAATCATTCTCTCTGCCCTTCTTCCTTCATCATCTATAGGTGAATCCCACCTTCCTAGTGCTTAAAGTACAAGCATTGTGGGAAGTACACCACTTATGTAGGAAGTCCCATTTTCCAACTTCTTTATTATTATTTTTTTGGAGACAATGTCTTGCTCTGTAGCCCTGGTTGACCTGGAACTTGCTATGTAGACCATGTAGACCTCAACCTTATAGAAGAGATCTGCTTGGCCTGCCTCCTGGGTGATGGGATTAAAGGTGTGTGCCACCATGTCTGGCTATTTATTGCTTTTTTAAAAATAGGTTTTTGAGACAGAGTCTCTCTACATAGCCCTGGTTGTCCTGGAACTCACTAGGTACACCAAACTGGCCTCAAACTCACAGAGATCTGCCTGATTTGCCTCCCAAGTGTTGCGATTAAAGACATGTGCCACCAAGACTAGCCTTAAATAGTTTTTTTTTTACTTTTATTTTATTATTTTATGTGTGGGGGTGTTCTATCAGCATGTATTGTATGTTGGGACACTACCTGCATGCAGTACTCTTAGAGGGCAGAAGAGTGTCAGAGCCCCTGGAACTGGAGGTACAACAGACAGTTGTGAGCTGTCATGTGGGTGCTGGAAATTGAACCCGGGTCCTCTGGTAGAGCAGCCCATGCTCTTAACTCTTGGGCCATCTCTCCATCCTTATTTATTGTTTTTTTTCTTTTTTTGAGATTGGATTCTTGTTATGTATCCCAGGCTGGCTTTGAATTCATAATCCTCCTGCATCAGCCTCCCAAGTCCTAGGATTGTAAGCATGAGCCACTATGGCTAATTCCCTTTAGCAACTTATACTTCTCAATCATTGTTATTGCCATCCATCACACCATGTTTCCTGACAAACACTTTATTTGGAAATTTAAATCATTATACAGATAATATGTATACATTGTGAAACATTTTTTGATGGGAATTTTTGTCTTTTGGGTTATAAATTTAGCTTTAATAGCTAAGCAATCTCTCCATCCCTGGTAGGACTTTTGAAAAAATATTTTTTTTTAAATTTTTTGTTGTTGTTGTTATTTTTTGTTTTTTGAGACAGGGTTTCTCTGTGTAGCTTTGCGCCTTTCCTGAAACTCACTCTGTAGCCCAGGCTGGCCTGGAACTCACAGAGATCCTCCTGCTTCTGCCTCCCAAGTGCGGGAATTAAAGGCGTGCGCCACCACTGCCTGACTGAAAAAATATTTTTAATTAAAAAATTTTTACACTAGGGAGGCAAAGGCAGGCGGATCTCTGTGAGTTCAAGGCCAGCCTGGTGTACAGAGCTAGTTCCAGGACAGCCAAGGATACACAGAGAAACCCTATCTCAAAAAAACAAAAAGTGAACAAAAATTGTTTATATTTGCTTATATGTGTGGTTTTGTGCATGTATATGTGCTCACCGTGTGTGCCTGGTGCCAGAGGTCAAAAGGAGCATCATACATATTCCTAGAGCTGGTTATATATGTATATGGTTGTGAGCCACTATATGGGTTCTGGGAACTAATTCCTGATACTCTGCCTGAGCAGCAAGTGCCCTTAATAACTGAACCATCTCTCCAGCCCTTTGTTGGACTTTTTTTTTTTCAACACAGAGTTTCTCTCTGTATCCCTGGCTGTCCTGGAACTCACTCTGTAGACCAGGCTGGCCTTGAACTCAGAAAGATCTGCCTGCCTCCACCTCCTGAGTGCTGGGATTAAAGGCGTGCGCCACCACTGCCTGGCCCTCTAGTGGATTTTTAAAGTGTCTTTTTTTTTTTTTTTTTTTTTTTGGTAAAAGCTAGCCTTCAGTTTCAGAGTACTAGTTTTTATTGTTGCTACTTGTTTGTTTTATGTCGCTGTGTCTGTCCTGATCCTGTTTTCCTGACATCAGCTGGTGGAAGAAACCAAACCATTTGACCTGCAGGAAACATCCCACCTTTAGAGTTTTCTGCTTGCTTCTTAATGGTCCTATTTGGCTGGTTGTACTCTTGCCTCCATTTCCTGTCATCTGGGAATGAGATGTCATTTGCTGCTGGATTTCCTTTAGTCCTCTCAAGTGACGCTCTTGTGGTGGTGCTAACACTGTCTGCCTCCCTCTAGGCCAAGGGAAATGTAAAGTTTCTGAGAGTGCCAAGTCTGGCCTTGGTTAGCTCCAGCCTCAGCCTGTGCTCACCCATGTGCTTCCGGCCCCTAACTCAGGTGGATGGGTGGTGCTGAGAATCGCCGCATCTTCCCTTTGCTCTTCTTTCTTCTTCTTGTAGTCTTTATCCAGCAGTCCTCAGGCCCAGCCCCCGCGGCCAGCAGAGCTGTCAGATGAGGAAGTGGCTGAGCTGTTTCAGAGGCTGGCCGAGACACAGCAGGAGAAGTGGATGTTGGAGGAGAAGGTGCTGTCCGTCTGCCTGCTAGTCCCCCGCACGAAGTGCCCTGGGATGGGGGGGGGGGGTGGGAAGACTGTCTGGCTGGGTCCTCCTCATGGGAGAAAATGTGAAGTTCAGGGGCCTGAGATGGAGTGGACCGTCTTGCAGGTAAAACACCTGGAGGTGAGCAGCGCCTCTATGGCAGAGGACCTCTGCCGGAAAAGCGCCATCATTGAGACCTATGTCATGGACAGCCGGATTGGTCAGTGCTCCTTCCCCAGCCTCACCTCCAGTGCAGCCTTCACCTGTCCCCCCTTTTCCATTGTCCTATGCTGCTACTTCTTTCTTCCTGAAACTCAGAGAAGCTACTGACAAGATCATGACCCATGGAGGGGAAAGCGGGGAAGCTTTGCTTACTCTCTGGCCTCCCCTTTGTACTGCTCAGTTCTAACCCCTCCATTCGCTAGTGTTTGCCCTGGACTTCTCGTCTCTTTTCTTCTCTACCCCTCTTCCTCCCCTGCTTTCTATTTCTTTATGTGGCTTTTTTTCTGTCCCCCTACTTCATCTTCTCTTAGTAGCACTATTGTTCTAGTTCCATTTTTATTGGTTTGCTGGGTCTTTGAAACTGGATTTTGCCCTGTCGCCTTGGCTAGCCTGGAACTTGATTTGTAACATAGGCTGGCCTCAAACTCTCAGCAATCCTGCCTGAGCTTTCCGGGTGCTGGGATTACAGGTGTGCATGCCTGCACCTAGCCATACATTTTCCTTCGTTGTAGCTTCATCCCTGTTCTCTTCTCTGACCTCCATGGCTAGCCTTTCCTCTCCTGTCTGTCTGCTACCTTCTCTCCCCTCTATTTTATCCCTTGCTTTCAACTCTTCCCCCACTTCCTGATTTTTCCGAGTTAGTACTATCCATTGACATGCTTTGAGGGTTTACTATGTGCTCTGTGTGTCACATGCAGGCGTGTGTGTACATGTTCCCAACACCATGAGTTAGGAATTATCCCCGTTTTTCAGAGTCGCATAACTCACGACAGCAGGCTTTCACATGTCAAAGCCTCTGCCCCCAACGTCACACTGCTTTTCTCCCTCCCTGCCTGCCTGCTTTGTTGGCCTCCTTTCCCCCCACCCCCCCCACCCCCCCTCCCCGCTGGCTCTGCCTACTCTCCCCTGTTCCCTACCCCCGGCTCTGCCGAGGGGGTGGTGCTCAGCCTGGACCCTTGCAGATGTGTCTGTGGCAGCAGGCCACACAGACCGAAGTGGGCTGGGCAGTGTCCTGAGAGACCTAGTGAAGCCAGGCGATGAGAACCTTCGGGAAATGAACAAGAAGCTGCAGAACATGTTGGAGGAGCAACTCACCAAGAATATGCACTTGCACAAGGCGAGTGTGGACTACCAGCCTGCCCACCTGTCCCTCCAACCACCTGCCTCCCTACCCACCTAGTCCCTGACTGTGTCCTTCCAGCTGGCCCTTGTCCTCCCAACTACCACCTTCCAGTCATCTACCACCCTTTTGTGATTCCCTCTTGTGCCCTCCAATCAACTTACCAGTTTAGCCTACCACTTGTCCGTCTGTCCTTCTACCCACTCATCCATTCCTATATGTACTCACCATTTACTGTCTACCTACCTTATTGCCTCGCTGTTAAACCATCATCTCCAAGTCTTCCATCTGTTTCTTAATGCATCATTCTTTTTTGTTGTTGTTTTGTTTTGTTTTTCGAGACAGGGCTTCTCTGTGTAACAGCCTGGCTGTCCTGGAACTCGCTCTGTAGACCAGGCTGGCCTCGAACTCACAGAGATCTGCCTGCCTCTGCCTCCCAAGCGCTGGGATTAAAGGCGTGTGCCTGATGATGCATTATCTTTTATTATTCTTTTATCTACTCATCAGTCACCCTTTTACCCACCTACTTGTCACTTGCCTGCCTACCTACCTCTTTTTGTCCTCTACAAAGTTCATTTGTGAACCTATTTGTCTGCCATAGATCTCTGATGGGTCCACCCACACATCAATTCCCCCACCCCGACCCAAATACTCCTTCATCACTAAGGGAGTCATATGCAGGTCCTGCCTTGGGGAAGCCAGCTCACATTTGTTGGAAGAGAAGGTGGTGGATCTTCCCATCCAAGGCCAGATAGCACTGGGCACTGGTTAACCCATCAGTCCATCTTACTACAGATAACACCTCATATTTGCTAACAGAGCTGCCCCTTCCCTCCCCTTCTCTGGTTCCTGATGGCTCATTTGTTTTTTAGGACATGGAAGTTCTATCCCAGGAAATTGTACGGCTCAGCAAGGAATGTGTGGGGTCCCCTGACCCAGACCTAGAACCTGGAGAAGCCAACTAAAGACCCGCAGACTGCACCTACTTCCACCCCCTCCGGAATGCCACTCACTCCCCTGGGCTGTGGTGGGAAAATAAGGAGGCTGGCACCAAATCTAATTGTTTGGGAGACGGACATTAAAGGGGCTGGAGGCCTGTCTATGGCTGGTGTCGATGACCCCAGTCATATGGCAGAGGCCCTGGGGGAGGAAGGATCCTGAGGGAAGGACAGGGATTTTGTTCTTCTTGACCCTAGCTCCTAGGGACATCTGCCTTCAACTCTGCATGAGCTCTCCCTCCCAGAGACCAACTCTTCATTTTATTTTATTTTTTAATTTATGTCTGGAAGCCTGGCTACTCTGCATTTGGGACTGGGGATTTTGGGTGGGGGTGCAGTCCATGCTCAATGTTCTAGCAATGTGTGTATGTGTGTGAGCGTGTGTGTGTGTAAAGGCTATGCAGCCAAAATACCATCTGGCCAGACGGGCCCACCCACTGACTGTCTGGTCTCATTCTTCTCAATCAAGAGGGATGTGCTGGGAGTGGGGTGGTCATTGCACTGGGGTGGGGAAGGTGACCTCTAGCTACAGCTTTCCTTCTTCTACTCTCCCCTCCCCTGCTTTCTGACAGACCTCTCCAAGGGAGTAGAGCAGAAATATCTGCAGATATGTGCGTGGGTGGATATGTCTAAAACTGAGGGTGTAGATGAATGAACAGAGGGGAGGCTGGATAAGTGGTTAGATGGGCTGAGGGATACATCAGTGCTTGTATGGCTGGACTAAATGCATAGGTAGATGGATGCATGGCTGGATGAATAAATGAGTAGATGAATCAGTAAGTGGCTGGGGTATGGGTAAATGGAGATACAAATGGACAGATGGATGTCTAGAGGGGTGGACAAATGGCTAAGTGGATGAATTAACTCTATGGGTAGATTGGTGGATTTATGGATAGGTTGGGAGTAAACTGACATGGCTAGAGTGGAATTATGGATGGCTAAGTGAATGAAAGGAAAGGGTAAATTGGATGCATCCATGCTAGGTGAAGCTATAGAGTGGATAGATGAATGGAATAGGTTGGTAAAAGGTTACCTAGAAGATGAGTGGGTAGGAGAATAAATGGATAGATGGGTGTGGAGAAGAATAGGTAGAATCATTGGTTATATGGGTCAGCGGATGGATGGGTGTAAGAATGGACAAATCAGGAGTGTGCAAAGCAAGCAAGGGAAGAGCGTGGATGGGTAAATGGATTGAAAGGTTAGGCAGTTCACCTGACTGCACCCTCATCACACACCTTTAGTTACTTAAGACTAGGCAGCCAGCCAGGCCTTACCTGTGCCAACCCCATTCACTTTACTTCAGTTAAGGCCTAAAAGGACACTTTCAAGTTGGAATAATTCTGACAACTGAGGAAACAAGTCCCCTGATAAAGTCTGGCAAAGCTGGGGTTAGAACTCACAGACTTAACCCAGGGGCATTCAGTACTCTGCGTTCTGAAGCAGAGCCCACCATGGAGAGAAAGGTGATTTGAGGGCATTGGATACAGACAGATGGGAAACCTGCTCCTTTGGCAAGGGGCCTACGGGTAGGGGGTGGTACCTGGATTATCCCCATCTGCATTACCTTTGCTCTGCAGCTTGCATCCCCAAACTGGAAGCTGTATGCTGGAGCCCCACAATCCAAGTCTAGTTTAGAAGTTGGGCTCTGACCTATGCCCTCCGCCCCCCAGAGTGGATCTGGAGCCTGGCCATCTAGAGAAACATCCCCACCAATCCCCCTCCCCCACCTCTCCCCGCCCTTCCACAGAGGGGGGGCAGGGAGGGGACACAGCACTGCATCATTCCCTGTGGCACTCCGCTCTGGGGCCATTAACAGACGCCTCCCCATCGATTGGTTCTGCTAAGTGCTGCTGATTCAGACGGGTGGGGGTGAGGGCCCCTGGGGGCAGTGGGGGTAGGAGCTGGGCACAAAGAAGGGGGAGTCCAGGAAGTAGGAGGTGGGGAGAACTGGCAAAGTTCCCTGCCACCCCCATTTTCCAGATGACGCGACTGAGGCCCAACCAGCTTTGTAAGGAGGCGGAGTCTCCCCAGGGTCTCTCTCAAGCTGTCCTAGGGGAGGGGGCTCTGGGAGCCACGTAGCCCCTCCCTGCCTCTAGCTTCATCTCCCGACAAGCTCCAGAGGGGCGGGGAGAGAGCGCTGGAGGAGGAGGAACTCCGGCAGCTCTGCAGAGGGGGCCAGGAGCTCCGGTGTTTGGTACCCCCAGCCCCAACGCTGTTGCTGCTGCTGCAGCAGGGACACAGGTGAGGACAGCCGTGTGGGGAGAGGGAGGGGACCATCAATAGCTCTGTCCTCGTCTTTTCCTGGTCCGGTCCCCATGCCCTAGTCCATCCTGGAACAGTCTCCAGGGGTCCCACTGGACCTTGTCCTTCCAGAGCCTCCTTCCAAGGACCCAGCAGCCTCCTCCCCCTGTCTCCCACCCCGCCCCCGCCCGTGCCACCTTTCCCTCCTAGGCCTGGCTGTGGCTGTTCTCCTCCTCCTCTGCTGCTGCTGCTGCTGCTGCTACTGCTGCTGCTGTTGCTGCTGCTCCCGCTGCTGCTACTGCTGTTGCTGGGCACACACCGCCAGCCCCTCCGGAGTGTGGTTTCCTCAGACCTGCCCTCAACGGTGGGACCCAGCCTTCTCCTGGTCTCCCCTACGATCTTCCTGCGAGGTTCAGCAGCCCCTTCTCCTGGAAGACACACCCAACTTTCTTCCAATACCCCGCCCCCTATCCAACCTATTTTGAGGGAATCCCCTTCCTCTTTGAATAGTCTTTTGCGAGAGTTTCTGGTGTGCTCACGGATCTATACCCAACTTCAGTCCAGTTGAGTATCGACCCTTTGGGATTCCCCAGACCCCCCCCCTTTTTTTTTCCTCACCCAGAGCTCTTCAGCTATGGACCAGGCTTCCTAAGCCCCTCCAGGTAACCTCTGGAGAGCTGCCGGATATCTCCCAGCCTCTTAAAAAATAAGCCAGTCCCATATACCACTTTCACTATCCCTTTTTTTCAGTCCTCACTGGAGGACCCTCACCTCTCCTACCTTCCCCAGAACTCCTGAAGCTTGTAGACAACATCCTCCAGGCTATTCTTGGCAGTGCTGGTCACTCCCGAGACACTTTTTAGCATCTTTACAACCTCCAGGCTTTCTCGCCACCCTTGCGATGCTCCAGTCCCCTTTCCTGATCTGCAAGGGGGCTCCAATCCAGGTATCTTTTCCCATAAGTCTTCTGGGTGTGGACAGCCCTTCAGTGTCTTTCAAACACCTCTGGTCCCATTCTCCAACTCTCTGAATGCCCCTATCTGTCTCCTCTTCACCTCAACTGAGGAATTGCAGGCTGTCCTTTAGTGGGAACTTGGGAGTGTGAACAACTCCCCACCTATTTCTTGGTCCCTTTGGACACCCTCAGGAACGTGTTGACTCTAGAATCATGTCAGTCTAGACCTGAGGATCCTTCTTGGTACCTTTAACGCTTTAACCCCTTCTTAGTCCTTTAGAACACCCCCCCCCCCAAGCTTCTGTCTCTCTAGTTCCTCCTCCTCCTGGTTCCTCGTGGTCTCTCTCTCTCTCTTTCTACACACACACACACACATACACACACACACACACACACACACACACACACACACACACACACCGGTTTCCTTGTCTGGGTAGCCCAGGGTCTCTCTAAGCCTCCATCATCCTGGAGACAGCCACATTCTCCTAAACATCACACCCCCAAGTCTCCGTGGGCCTGGGGAGCTGCAGGATGGCGGCAGGTGTGGCCACATGGCTACCATTTGCAAGGGCTGCAGCAGTGGGCTGGCTGCCCTTAGCCCAGCAGCCTCTGCCCCCTGCACCGGAGGTGAAGGCGTCCCGAGGGGATGAGGTTCTGGTGGTGAATGTGAGTGGTCGGCGCTTTGAGACCTGGAAAAACACACTGGATCGCTACCCAGACACATTGCTGGGCAGCTCGGAGAAGGAATTCTTCTATGATGCTGAATCAGGCGAGTACTTCTTTGATCGTGACCCCGACATGTTCCGGCACGTGCTGAACTTCTACCGCACAGGCCGCCTGCACTGTCCCAGACAGGAGTGCATCCAGGCCTTTGATGAGGAGCTGGCCTTCTATGGCTTAGTACCAGAGCTTGTGGGCGACTGCTGTCTTGAAGAGTACAGGGACCGCAAGAAGGAGAACGCGGAGCGCCTAGCAGAAGACGAGGAGGCTGAGCAGGCCGGGGAAGGGCCAGCCCTTCCAGCAGGCAGCTCCCTGCGACAGCGACTCTGGAGGGCCTTCGAAAACCCACACACGAGCACTGCAGCACTGGTTTTCTACTATGTGACTGGCTTTTTCATAGCTGTCTCGGTCATCGCCAATGTAGTGGAGACCATCCCATGCCGTGGCCCTGCACGGCGACCCACGAGAGAGCAGCCCTGTGGTGACCGCTTCCCAATGGCCTTTTTCTGTATGGACACAGCCTGTGTACTTATATTCACCGGGGAATACCTTCTGCGGCTCTTCGCCGCTCCCAGCCGTTGCCGCTTCCTGCGCAGCGTGATGAGCCTCATCGATGTGGTGGCCATCCTGCCCTACTACATTGGGCTTTTTGTGCCCAAGAATGATGATGTCTCTGGTGCCTTTGTCACCCTACGTGTGTTCCGGGTCTTCAGAATCTTCAAGTTCTCCAGACACTCCCAGGGCTTGCGGATTCTGGGCTACACCCTCAAGAGCTGTGCCTCTGAGCTGGGTTTTCTCCTCTTTTCCCTCACCATGGCCATCATCATCTTTGCCACTGTCATGTTCTATGCTGAGAAGGGCACCAGCAAGACCAACTTTACAAGCATCCCTGCTGCCTTCTGGTATACCATTGTCACCATGACCACACTTGGGTAAGTATAGACCTTGAGCTGGGCGCTCTTTCTGTAACATTAGGAAGGTTAGAACATACCTCTATGGCAATGGATATCGAAACCAGAGCCTCACATGGAGACTTCACACATGCGGAATACGTGCTTGCCTCTGCCTGCCACCCCACTTTTGAGACAAGGCTGTTGTGCTATGTATAGCCCAGGCTAGGTTCAAATACATTATCTTCCTGCCTCCACTTCCCCAGTGCTGGTATATACAGGTATTACCAGCATGCTTGGCCCCTTTATCTCCTTTTGAGCTTCAGTTTCCTAATCTATAAAAATTCAGAAAGCTGCCGGGCGGCGGTGGTGGTGGTGGTGGTGGTGGTGGTGCACGCCTTTAATCCCAGCACTCGGGAGGCAGAGGCAGGCGGATCTTTGTGAGTTCAAGGCCAGCCTGATCTACAGAGCAAGTTCCAGGAAAGGCTCCAAAGGTACACAGAGAAACCCTGTCTCGAAAGCAAAACAAAAAATTTCAGAAAGCTGGGACTGGAGAAATGGCTGACCAGTTAAGAGTACATACTTTGGGCTGGAGAGATGCCTCTCTTCCAGAGATCCTTAGTTCAATT